TATGTTGGAAAGAGGTGTTGGGTTTGCATTTTTTGGGGGCTGAAATATTCGAAGCATGTTCCAATACTTTGCTGGAAAAATGAACAACCGAATTACTGAACTTTTCTTGTATATTTTCCAGAATTTTTGCATGATCTTTTCCTAAGTCTTCTGTTTGTTTTTTATGGTGGTGATTATATGTTTTGCTTAGCCTAAAGTTGCAGGTTTGGTTTTGAAAATATATAATCCAAGTTGGGATTAAGAAATAGGCATTTGTAAACAGAGAGTGCAGCAAGTTTGTTTTGATTGCAACCAATTCGTCCGTGGTCTTGCATGAAGTATTTCCAACGTTTGTATGATTTCCTCCCATGTCTTTGGCTTATTTGGATGTTGAGCTTGGTGATGATTGTTGTTAAGGTCAAAGTGGTAACGTTTGTTTAAGGTTTTAGCTGTGTTTGGATGGAAAAGTTGCATTGAAAAATTTCAGAAAAGTTGCATCAGTTGCCGAATGTGTTGTAGCAGAAAGCTGGTTCGCCACTTTACATGAAGCTTGCATGCAAAACATTTCCAGAATTCGCACTTTAACCCCTCAAGTTTCCCTTTATGTCACTATGACCCAACCAATTGAATAATGTCCTCAATTTGGTCCTTGGCAGCCTTAATTTTGCAATTTTTATTGCTTGTTTGCTTCAAATAATTACCATGCTTTGTTTAAATTGCACTTCATGCATGAATTTAAGAGCTTTATGACCATGTGAGCCTGTGTTTGCATGTTTTCTTTAATTTTCCCAAATAAATTGGTACCTTGACCATTTCTTTTATTTTGGAGGATAAATAAGTGACTTCACCCCATTAGAGCTCCATTTCAAGGGAGGTATAACTTCTTTTATCTTTTTTGTCTTTCCCCTATGTGCTCCAACGTGTTAAGTGAGAATTGCATGTCTACTTTGCTTTCCTTGCTTTTCCTTAATACCTTTCATTTGTTTCATTTACTTTTGCTTTTTTATTAAGTCTCGCTTTTATTTATTTATGGGGTATGTGTACACCTCTTGGCTTGTAATAGATAGGGCTTGGCAAGCATTTTGTCCATTTTTCCCCTTACCCTTTTGTTTTAGTTAGCAAATGTAATAGGTTCATTAGATTGATTGCTTGCTTTTGTTGCTACGTGTTAATTTGCTTTATTAGGTTCTTGCATCTAGTCGAGCATGCTAAGTGTTATGTGCTACATGTTTATAGATGATTTGCATGTCTACTTGCTTTCTATAGTCGTGGATGAATGTAATGGATGAATGGACGTCACCACACTAGTCCAATGCTAGTTGAGGCCCCCTTTCCCGAATCCACACTAGCCCAACGCTAGTTGTGGCTCATTGTTCCGATTTCCACTAGTCCAATGCTAGTAGGAATTCATAGAAAGGGCAAGTCCAACGCTAGACCCAATAGGCCGTCCCATTTCGTTAGTGCATACTTGCATGTTCACTACATTTCATGCATTTTTCTTAGTTTTTATCATTTAGCATGCTCCTCCAACCCTTTCCCCTTCATTTTAGGCTTTCGCATCTTCATGCTAGATATAGGGTCCATTTGCTTGAGAGTCCCCTTTCGACAAGGGAAACGAGCGAGTGTGGCTACAAAATAGCCTTAGCACGCTAGTTCTTCCTTCTAATCAAAGGAAAATCAAAGTCGTGAAATTAGGAGTCATTCCCGTACCCAACTTGATACATTCCTCTAGGTTCATGCACTCTCATTCTTATCATATCACTTCCTCACTCTTTTATCCACACTTTCTCACAACTTATATTTTTCTCAACCCACATGCCATGTTCACACACTTTTTTCCTATCACTTATTTATTTTCTACCTCACAAATTGCACCCAATTGCACTTATATGTATCTACTATCATATTTTCATCCATTTGCACATAGACACCTTTATTTTCTCAATTTGCACACATGCACTTGTCTTACATTTGCACACATGTACGTTTTCTTACATTTTCACACTTGCACTCATATTTGAGTCTTCATTTGCATCATTCGCGACCTCTATGAGGACTTTCCTTATTGGCCACCACAACTCATGTGGTTGGGACCAAAAAACCTCATACGAGACATTTTAGATTTAGGATTGCATCTTTTTTCATATCCATTAGTCATATCCAACATGCGAAACATACTTTGGGTAGGAAAAATTGGGAAAAGAAGGGCTAAGTCACGCAACTAGCTTTGGCTAGGGTAAGGGAGTGCCTTAGGCTTTGCCTTTGCCTTCTCCCTTATCAAATGTGACCCCCGATCCCTTTCTTTGGTTACGTAGACCTAAAGTTCTTTAAAAAGGGTTGTTTACTTTCCTTTCCAAAAATCACTTTTTGGGTGACTTGGTACACCCTAACTCTATACCAAGTGGCGACTCCATTTTCCCTTAAAAAACCCTTTTTTTGAACTTTGTTTTGGCCAAACCGTCGCATTTTCAAGTCCCATGGCCTTTTATTTTCATTTGTGCACACGTTCACATACATATCTCACACACTACTTTCACACCACATCAAAAAGTGGGGCGCGACAGTTGGCGACTCCACTGGGGATTTCCTAAGTGGGTCCAAGCATTTGATTTGGCTATTCTTTTCCCTTTTCTACCCTTTTTATGCATAGCATTTGGATATTAGGGTTGCATTTTTCCTTTTAGGACTTTTGCCTCGCGCACGTATCAAACTACCTCCTCACTCACGTATGTATGATTGGTTGTTTGGATGTATATTTTACTTGTTTTATCTCGCGCTTTGCATTGCATTTGGGTGGGGGACATACCCTAGAGCCTCGCGTTGGTTCTTGATCCCTCCCCTCCAAACGAGCACTAGCATACGTGCATACGCTTTAATTATTTATCCCTCCTTTATTTTTCTTTTAGTGGCTTGTCACGCCACTCCACCCTATTAGGATTTTAGGCGACTCACTTGGACGTGTGACCGCGACACGACGTGTGCGTAGCACGATCCGAGGGGTCACTCAATCTTCCGCTTTAGCTTTGGGTTGATAGCCTTTAGCTTTTAGCCGAAGGTTGAGGATTTTTTATAGATTCACTCAGACATGTAGCCGTGACACGACGTGTGCGTAGCAATGTCTGGGGAATCGCTCGAGCCACCGACAAAGAACCTTCGGATTGATGACCCTTGGTTTCCAAGTCTGAAGGCTCGGGGACCTAAAACCTATCGAGTCTAGCTGCATTAGTGAGCCAATACCTCATGCATCCATGATAGCTTGCCTAGGGTAGAGTCGGCCTTATCCTGAGCTAGGGACACTATTCACGATGGGAGGGAACCAACCCCTTTTCCTTTTTATTGCTTTATGTCTTTGATTATTATTGCTTTATCTCGTTGCTACAATGTGTTATGTGTATTTATCTGGCTGAACTAACTCTTCTTGGTTTTGTGTCCCCATTGCATTCACAAACCCTAGCTAATAAGAGGTCTGACATGACCTTTCTTTTAGAACCTACCCTTGTAGATAGGTTATTGCACGTTTAAAGATTTTGGTATATTGCATTCATAGATTAATAATTGCATATCATTCTAGGCCTACCTTGGCGTATAAAGGGTCCTTTTAGGTCATAATTGCATATTTTACCGCTCCAATAAACTGGCATCATGCATAAACCCTAGAAAGGGAATACCATTTAGGCGATCCCGTGCTAGGAATAAGCCGCCCTGTTTCTCGGATATAGAATCCAATGAGACTTGCACGTTTATATTTCCTGTACCATCCAAAGGGGTAGTGCACAAGGTAAGGTGGAATCCGATCATTTTCATGGAGCGATCTTTGAAATATGAGCGTCTAATAATCACTTTTTGGCCATTTTATCAAGATTGGTAAAAATTCCTTGCATGAAGGACATTAGTTTGAAGAAATTTACAAGTAATTCCTCACTATTGAGACGATAAATGAATTGAGGCCAAAATTTGATTATTTGAAGGCTCATAGACTAATGCATCGCAATAAATTTTTGGAACTACCAATGGATAGATTGTTTTAAGCTATCAATTCCATTCAACCCATTGGACCATTTTATCCATCAATCTCATCCAGTCCATTTTATCAATTTGTTCATTTTTAGGGCAACCTAGTCGATTTTGAGTTCATTTGACAAGTTTACCCATTTTAGGGCAATCTAGTTGATTTTTGAATAAGATCACCAATTTCATTCAATTCATTTGATTAGTTTACCCATTCCTAGGTCAACTCAATCAATTTTGAATAAGTTCAAATCATCAGGTTCGTTCAATTTCATTTGACCAGTTTACCTATTTTAGGGCAGTTCGGTCGATTTTGAATAAATCATCATTTCACTTAATCAATTGATTTCATTCAATTCATTTGATTAGCTTAATTCATTTTTCGGGGTTATCCATTCAATTTTCAATAAATAATCAAATTTCATTCAATGCATTTGACCATTTTACCCTTTTTGGCACATCATGTGTTGATCAAAGTAAGCAATTCATTCGGACTTTGTCCTCATTTTTTAGGACGAATGTTTCTTCTCACTCCCGATGGGCCAAAATTTTCAAATCATTTTTCACTCAATCAATTGATCGGATTCATTAGGTATGGTATAGTGCCTACCCTAGAGGATTGCATTTTCAAGACCAAGATGCCTACCTTTCATGGGAAAAATGATCCTGAAGCTTACTTGGATTGGGTTAGGCGAGTTGAGCAAGTGTTTGCAGTCCACAATTATTCTGAAGAGAAAAAGGTGAAACTTGCAGCTATTGAATTTCAAGATTATGCATCTATTTGGTGGGAGCAAGTATGTGCCACAAGGAGGAGAAATAGGGAACAACCGATTGACACTTGGACTGAAATGAAGCAAGTGATGAGGAAACGATTTGTACCCTTCCACTATACCACAGACTTGTACAATCGGCTCCAACGACTCACTCAAGGTTCTAATTCGGTTGATGAGTACCACAAACAAATGGAGGTAGCAATGATAAGGGCCAATGTACAAGAGGATCCGGAAGCAAACATGGCGAGGTTCCTTAATGGATTAAATCCTGAAATTAGGAAGAAGGTTGAGCTTCAAGACCACTTTGAACTTCAACAAATGGTGTCTTATGTAGGGAAGGTGGAAAAAGAAGCCTTACCTCTAACGACACCTAGTGGCCGAACCACTACATCCTCTTCCACTCCTTGGAAAAGAAATCAATTGCCAACATCCAATGCTTGGCCAAGGCAAGGTAATAGAGAGAGGGAAAACAAGCGGATGGAACAACCGTCCCATCCGAGTGTAACTTCTTCTAAACCAATCCTGCGGCCACCTCTTCCAGGGGCAAATACATCTACCAACCAGCCAAAGGCATGTTTCAAATGCAAGGGAATTGGCCACCTCATGGCTCAATGCCCTAACCGAAGCATCATGTACATGAATGAAGAGGGAGTGTGGCAAAGCGAAGGAGATGATGAATATGCTGACATGCCACCGCTTGAAGAAGAAAGGAAGGATGATGACATGGTTGAGATAGAGGAGGACCCCGTAGCACGAACTATGGTGACTATGAGAGTGCTTAATGCACAAGCTCAAGAAGATGATCTCCAACGAACCAACATCTTTCATACAAGATGCAAAATTGGAGATGAGGTATGTCTTATGATCATTGATAGTGGCTCTTGTACTAATTGTGTAGACGCTGATTTTGTGGAGCAAAATCACATTCCATGGACTTATCACCCTAAACCATATAGATTGTCTTGGTTAAATGATGGGGGGAAAGTCAAGGTGACCAAACAGGCCTTAATTGCTTTTTCTATTGGTCGATACAAGGACCAAGTTTTATGTGATGTAATTCCTATGCATGCTAGTCATGTCTTGTTGGGGCGTCCTTGGGAGTATGATAGACAGGCTGATCATATTGGACTTACCAATAAGTATAAGTTCATTATGGACAACCTCAAAATCACTCTTTCACCCTTGACACCTACACAAGTGTATGAAGAACAATTACATTTGAGAAAAGCGAGAGAGAAAAGGCAAGCGAAAGAGGCAAAGAAAAAGCCGAATGAGAGAGAGAATGTGACGACCCCACTTCTCCCAAGGGCGAACCCAAGGGTATCGGCGGGCCGCCTGCCTAGCTCGCGCCAGGACTCAAAACTTAAAACAATAAAAGCCAGAAAATCCAAAAGAGTACTATACATACTATATACAATCCCAAAAGAGTTATAATTACATTCTCCAAAAGCACTTGCTCACACTATTACATCCTTATCACTACAACCAAAACCAAAATGTAGACCCTGAGGAGGGTCCTTATACAAACCACCACAACAAAAACAAACATCCTAATTGTTCAACTATTACAAGCAAAGCTAACTATACTAGTGTATGTGCCAAAAGTCCCCGCGTCGGCCCCTGCTAAGGAAAACAAAAGGAATGGGGTAAGCTATATGCTTAGTAAGTAAACAGGGGCAAAAGCGTAAATTTCACGAACAACAGTTACATAGTAAGAGTAAAGCAAAAGCAGAAAAGTAACATCACATAATAAGGATACAGGTGGCCCTAAAGCCAGATCGTTTGCCATGTGTGACCTCCTGCCGACACTCCGTCGACCTCAAATAATGGTCCGTAGAACTTCACTTGTACTCCCACCGTACACCTTATCACCCTCTCTGGCCAGGCACCTCACAAACTTGCTCGAGCGAACGAAATTGAGCTTGGTTCACAAGCTCGGGTCACAAACTTGGTCCACATAATCGGTGAACTGGATTCACAAACTTGGTGACCTCAAACCAGGTTGGACTAATTTCGACCAAGCCCTAACCGGCTCGAATAGTCCATCTAGGTCATGAGATCGGGCCCCAAACTCACAAACTTCACAAAATTTATTCAAAAGTCACCCCGACCTACAAGCTCAAGGGGTTTAGTTCCAAAATGATTCATATACATATGGCATGTACAAATATATACGCAACTTAGGGTTTAGGTCGAGTGCGATAAAGTACACCCTCGCCTAGGTACCATTTTTCATACATATCGAAACACACAAGCAACTAACACGTAAGAACGGCCTGAATACTTACACAACGAACAAAAGAGCAAAATTCGAAATTTGTGCCGCGAAGAGTAGCTAGTAGGCCCCACCGGCTCCACCTAGCTCACCACCGTCTGAAATAGAAGATTGCGTCACATAATATCATAAACGGCTACTAATAGACCTAAAACAAGCAAAACGGCAAAATCAGCACATACGAGTGCGGAAACGGCATACGGAAACGGAAATGGTGGCCTAGCCATTTCACCGTCAAAACTTTTTTGAGCCTAATCTAAGCTACGAGTGTCGGATGAAGGTACATGAGGTACCGTTACGAAGCTAAGAGAAAAGTATATAACTTTCATGAAGACACCTAACTCCGGATCTGAACAGAGATGGGTCGAAAGTGCAGAAAACCGTTCCAGGAATTCGCACTCCAAAATAACGGACAGGGTATGTTTGCTGGACTATAACTCCCAGCTCATAAATCCAAATCAGGAAATTCCAAAGGCATTAGAAACCTGAGACATAAGGATAAAACTTTGATGTTTTGGCCAAGACCTGAATCCACTCAGAACAGAACGAAATTTGAGTGTCAAAGTACCCGTCAGAACTGTCCAGATTCAAAGGCAGTTCTGACGATTGATCTTGTTTGGGTCATAACGGAAGCTACGGAACTCGGATTTCGACGCACTTTATACCGTTTCGAAGCCAAAACCAAGATCTACATTTCTTATGAAGGAGTCACCACCCAGATCGTACGGTATCAAAACCGAAAAAGTCACGGGCAGAAGCTAAACTAAAAACGCACAGAACCTGATGTTCAAAACAGGCTTGAGTATTTCATCTATAACTCATGATACACTAATCCGTTTGACCTAAAATTTTACAGGAATATTCAGGACTTAAGAAGCTACAATGTTTAAGAAGGCCACTCAGTCCAATTTCGAGTGTAACTACGTCAAAAATGTAACATACTACACCAGAATCGCAAAACAGGTTCACAAACCGTATTCTAGTACAAACATCATAAACAACCTACATAAGTCCAAATCAAGAAATTCTAAATCCATATGAAAACTTAGAAACAGGGGTACATTTCATTAGAAGACCGGAACAACCGATTCTGAAGCAATTCCAGCCAAAACAAGCAATTACAGGCGCAATTCTTACATTCGGGTAAAACCAGGACAGCAAGGGTAATTTCGACTTTTCTCATTCTACGCTACTCTGATTGACCTGAAATTTTTCAGGCACCTCTAAAATGTCATTCCCTACAACTTTAATGTTTTAAGATAAGGCCAATTCGGCCTCTAACCAGAAGATACAAAACCGGACAGAATTGAAGGGTATGAAACCCTAGTCTTCCAAATTTCCCTCCAAACCAAAAAGCGCTTGCAATTAACAATCATTTACACCTACTAGCCTCATTTTAGGCCATTGCCAATCATCATACAAGGCCACACCATCAAATTCATATATAAACAGAAAAATCACCAATAAATGGAAAACTTCACCACTTCATCCAAAATCAAGAAATAAACCACAAAATTCAACATTTTAACTACCACTAAGCACAAATTAAGCTTCATTAGGTGAAGGAGAAGGTTCATTCACTACTCACCTAGTAAAACAAGAGAGGGAGAGTTGCTTGTCACCTTAGCTTCCCCAAACACTTCACCAAACAACTCATTAACACCTAATGAAGAGGTTTTATGGAGTAGAAACAAGTTTAAGTGATTGTTTTGGAGGATTTGAGCTAGATGGAAGCCAAAACTTTGAAGAGTTTTCTTTCTTCCTTTGCTAGAGAAGGCCGGCCAAGATGGAGAAGAAAAGAGTGAATTTTTGGTAATTTTTGAGATATTTTAACCAAATGGTAAGACAAGGAATAGTAGTCTTACTTAAGGACTAATCCAAGGGTGACACTTGTCACCTTCATTAATGCAAGTCTAACACTTTGTTCCCTCTCACTCTAATCCATAAAGTATCCTCTAATTATCTCTTAGCACCCGATAAATTAAACCCAGTATCCGAAACTTAACCTAATCGGCCGAATTTTTCCGAACTTACCGCACTAGTGGGTCCCACGTCCGATATACGTTCTTAATTTCTCAAAAACTAACCGATACTAGAAAAATAATCTAAAATCTATATTTACTCATAAAAATTATCTGGGGAATTTTTCTAATAAAGAAAATGTGGAAAAATGCGGGTGATAAATAAAACTCCACTTAAGCTTTCTAATATTGTAACACTAGAGGTTTGCTAATCCAGAGTTTACCAACCATTTTCAAACTTGTTAAACCTCTGTAAACTATAACGAATCCTATTTTTACTTGTGCCAAAACACACACTAGAATACCGCATATAAACTATAGCTCGAGTTTACGAATAATACATAAACTAGGGTTTTATCATAAGCAAGGTTAGGATTTTCAATCTTAGCCGAGATTAGGGTTTCACCTTAGCCCTAAAACCTTAATTTAACCGTACAAAATAATGAATAACCCTAATATCAACTTACGAACGGACTGGGGCCTCACAGAGAATGAGGGGAAAAAGAAAGTAGAGGCCAAGTTGAGTGAAAAAGAAAATTCGAGTGGAAAAAAACTCAGTGAGGCCGAGAGCTTGAAAGTGGAACAAAGGAGTTTCTATGCAAGTGTGCGTGAGGTAGATAGGGTTTTGAATGCACAAAGTCTTCTCATAGTACTTCTGTACAGGGAAGCTGATTATTCTTCTTTTTACACACTAGGCCTAACCGATTCTCTTCCTAGTGTAATCTACTCTCTTTTGCAGGAATTCAAGGATGTGTTTCCAGAGGAACTACCGAAATGATTACCTCCAATTCGAGGCATTGAACATCAAATCGACTTTGTCCCTGGAGCAATTCTACCAAATCGACCAGCCTATAGAGCAAATCCGGAGGAAACAAAGGAAGTTCAAAGGCAAGTCGACTCCCTCCTTGAAAAGGAACAGGTTCGTGAATCTCTTAGTCCTTGTGCAGTTCCAGTTATCTTAGTGCCTAAGAAAGAAGGGACTTGGAGAATGTGTACAGATTCTCGTGCAATTAATAAAATTACTGTTAAGTATCGTCATCCTATTCCTAGGTTAGATGATATGTTGGAAGAATTGCATGGCGCAATCATTTTCACTAAAATTGATTTAAGATCTGGTTATCATCAAATAAGGATAAAGGAAGGAGACGAATGGAAAACTGCTTTCAAAACAAAGTATGGTCTTTATGAGTGGCTTATGATGCCTTTTGGCTTAACAAACGCTCCAAGTACTTTCATGAGATTAATGAACCATATTTTAAGGCATTTTCTTGGGAAGTTTGTTGTTGTTTATTTTGATGATATATTGATCTTTAGCAAGTCTTTAGATGAGCATGTTGAGCATTTGCGACTTGTTTTAAGTGCCTTGCGTGAAAATAGGCTATTTGCTAACATGGAAAAATGTGTTTTTTGCACTCCTGAAGTTAACTTTCTTGGATATATTGTTGGTGCAAATGGCATAAGTGTTGATCCCGCCAAGGTAAAGGCCATCATGGAGTGGCCGACTCCAACCAATGTATCTCAGGTAAGGTCTTTTCATGGTCTTGCAAGTTTCTATAGGAGATTTGTTAAAGACTTTAGTACTATTGCAACACCTTTGAATGAGATAATTAAAAAGAATGTGGGGTTTCAATGGGAAAAAGAGCAAGAAGAGTCGTTTACTAAGTTTAAGAATTTGTTAATTTCAGCACCTATTCTTGCTTTGCCTAATTTTGATCTGACGTTTGAAGTTGAATGTGATGCTAGTGGGATCGGCATAGGGGCTGTCTTACATCAAAATAATATGCCGTTGGCATTTTTCAATAAGTTGAGTGGGGAGCTCTTAATTACCCTACTTATGATAAAGAATTGTATGCTGTTGTACGTGCTCTTGAAGTGTGGCAGCATTATCTTATGCCTCAGGAATTTGTGATACATACCGATCATGAATCAATTAAATTCCTTAAGGGGCAGGGTAAGTTGCATAAAAGACATGCGAAATGGATTGCATTTATTGATTCCTTTCCATATATCATTAAGTATAAGAAGGGGAAAGATAATGTCGTTGCGGATGCATTGTCTAGAAGGTATATTTTGATCACTAACATGAGCACTAAGTTACTTGGTTTTGAGCACATTAAAGACTTGTATGCACATGATGACGATTTTTCTAATGTGTTTCAAACTTGTGAACATGCTGCATTTCAAAAGTTCTATAGGCATGAAGGCTTCTTGTTCAAAGAAAATCGGCTATGTATTCCCAATTGTTCACTTAGGGAATTACTTGTTAAAGAAGCCCATGGCGGAGGGTTGATGGGACATTTCGGTATTGATAAAACTCTTGACATTTTGCATGAACATTTCTATTGGCCTAAAATGAGGCGTGACATTGCTAACATTTGTGATAAGTGTTTAAAGTGTAAGCAGGCAAAGTCAAGGAGTAACCCTCATGGATTGTATACTCCTCTACCCGTACCTCATGCTCCTTGGACAGACTTATCCATGGATTTCGTGCTTGGTTTACCAAGATCTTCTAGAGGTATGGATAGTATCTTTGTTGTAGTGGATAGATTTTCTAAAATGGCTCATTTTATCCCTTGTAGGAAAACAAATGATGCGCGCCATGTTGCTGATTTTTTCTTTAAGGATGTGGTTAGATTGCATGGAGTACCATGTACTATTGTAAGTGATAGGGATGTGAAATTCTTAAGCTATTTCTGGAAATCACTTTAGGGAAAGTTGGGAACTAAGTTGTTGTTTTCTACTTCTAGTCATCCCCAAACGGATGGTCAGACTGAGGTAACCAATCGAACCCTTGGTGCTTTACTTCGAGCCATTGTTCAAAAGAACTTGAAGAAGTGGGAAGAATGTTTGCCTATTACCGAGTTTGCATATAACCGAACCACTCATTCTACTACTAATCATTCTCCTTTTGAAATTATTTATGGGTTTCAACCGCTAACCCCTCTAGATTTATCACCTATTCCTGTTAATGAGTGTTTAAGCGCAGATGGTGTCAAAAAGGTAGAGGCTGTTCGGACCTTGCATGAGAGAGTTCGAGCTCAAATTGAGAAGAAAAATGCGCAATATGCACAACATGCGAATAAGGGTAGAAAACATGTTGTATTCGAACCCGGTGATTGGGTTTGGGTGCACATGAGGAAGGAAAGGTTCCCAGCATCTCGACGGACCAAATTACATCCAAGGGGAGATGGACATTTTCGTGTACTAGAGAGGATAAACGACAATGCTTACAAATTGGAACTCCCAAGTGAGTATGGCATAAGCGCATCTTTTAATGTGTCTGACCTATCCCCTTTTGACTTTGATACAGACTTTGAAGATTCGAGGACGAATCCTTTCGAGGAGAAAGGGAATGATGCGGATACGGGTGTGCAACAACTTCAATCTTGGGTCAAGGATCATTTGGTCAACATTGGTGGTCCGATGACAAGATCAAGATCCAAGAGGGTGAAGGAAGCTTTACAAGCCTTGATCATTCACCATACAAGCAAGAAACAAGCTAAGTTTGAAGATTTGATGGACCATGAAATTACGTTGTTCACTTGTACTTTTGAAGTGAAAGAATGATCTCATACTTGTTAGCTTAGTTGGTAGTTGTCTTAAGACTACCTAGTTTAGTAGTTGTTAATCGTTGAGTATTTTATTACTTATTGGGCCTTATCGGGAAGCCTTAAAGAGCTGGCTATTTTATTACTTATTGGGCATTATCGGGAAGCCTTAAAGAGTTGGCTCTTTATGCGGACCGAATTCCTATTCCAGGTTTATGTGGGCCGGATTTGCCCTAGTTTTAGCCTATAAAAGGCACCTATTGTATGAGCGAAATGACAGATTATTACAACCAGAAATCGTGAGGAATTTTCCTTCAAGTTCTTAATCGAACTTACTCTTGAATTCTTGAGTTCATAGCTTAGGATTCAAATCAGACTTTATCGATTAGCTCGTTCCCTAATCGTGGTGTCGCTTCATCCATTCTTATTTGCTTAAGGTTGTTGATTGCCTTTGTGTGTCAGAGGTCTTGAGTTCATGAGAACAATCGAGTTCAATTTCTGTTGGGAGAAAAGATCCAACTCTGATAATTACAAGATTGGGAAGTTCTAGGAGGGTCTTCCCCTAGGGTTGCTCATCAAATGAGATAGAGAGCAGACTCCAAGGACATGGGTTAATTTCACCCGTGAGTTTAATAAGAAGTACTTACCACCACTTGTTCAAGAATGGCGGGATGATGAGTTTATACAACTGCGTCAAGGGACTTTGAGTGTGGCGGAGTACGAGACGCAGTTTATCAAAATTTCTTATTTTGCTCCGGATTTAGTGTAACGCCCCGAGGCAGAAGAGAAGGGAAAAATTTCTGGTGAATAGTATTTTGTGGGGAATCCGGCCAGAAGCCGTGCAAATTCCTTGTATTTTTCTTAAAAATTCCCTTTTCTTTGACAAATACCACTTTATAATGGCCCTACTACTCAATCACCCCACAATAAGTGCCAATGAACCTAGAAAGTAGGGTTTCACTTTTGGTTTCAAGATTGGAGCAAAATTAGGGTTTTCGCGATTTTCGCCGGATGAATTTTCGGTACAGAGTAAGGATTAAATTTGGAGATTAAAAGTGACTTTTAAGTGAGAAATAATATGTGACTAGTAGCAATGATATAAGGTTAGTGAATGGGAAGTAAAAACCCTAATACGTGTGTTTTTAAGAAAAACGGTGCGAACCGGCGCGGTCCCGCGCACTACCGATTGAACGCACCACTTGACCACCATTTTTCTTACCAAACAAGCTTATTGAACTTGAGCAAAATATCTTCTTACTTGGCAGCTAAGGTTGACCGAAATTAGTGGCTAAACTGACAAGGAAAAGAAAGAGAAAAATGGAAGGTAGTGGTGCCGACAAGTGTCGCCACCTTAGAGCTTCTTGACCAAGACTTAGTCTTTCCATTTAACACCAAAATTCAGCATTTTCCTCTTCATTTTTGCTGCTGCTGGCCGAGAGGAGCAAGAGAGAAAAACACAAGGGAAAACATTCCATTTCTTCTTGAATCCAACTATTAAGTGAGAAATCAAACAAAACAAACCGATTAAACTTGCCTTTGAGTGATTAGTTAGTGATTTGAGGTGAGATTTTGGAAAGAGAAAGCTTGGGCTACACATAGTGAACACTAGTCAAGGTAAGAAAGATGATCTCTCTAAATTTTACTTTCAATGTTGTTAAATTAAGCTTAGTAACTTGCTTTTGTGGTGGAATCATGGATGTTATCATGTTTTGGAAGTTTTCCCCTTTTTATATGATGAACTAGGGCTTGAGGAATTTCTGCCCAATTTGATGTATGATGTATATATGTTGAAATTAAGTTTATAGAAGGGGTTTTGGTAGTGATTGAAGTGAGAAATTAAGGAAGATTGCATTAAATACTAAAAATCCCAGAATTCTGGAAAATTTGCTCCATCATTCTGTCCGGTTTTGTAGCCCTATGTTAGAGGACGAATTGGCCTTAGGTCAAAGAATTAAAGTTGTAGAGAATGGTATTTTATAGGTGCCTACAAAATTTCAGCTCAATCGGAGCAATGTAGGTCTTGAAAAGTCCAAAATACCCTTACTGTTTTAAGTTTTTCCCCAGCAGTCCGTGTGATCAGTTTGTCCAGTTTATCACGTTTTTTGACTAGGATCCGTTCTGTTTTAGCTTTTTACCAAAACATGAAAGTTGTATTATTCTGACTTAGATTTCAAATGCTTCTAAGAACACCTGAATCGGACTTTGGTACTCTAAGATATGATCATTACAGTGTAATGCGGTTAAATAGCCGACAAGTTAGATTTTGGTTCTGTAATTTGAGGATTTGACTAAGTTACATTAGGAACTGGACTAAGTGATCTTCATGAACATTGTAGCCCTGTGTCCTATCTTCGAAACGGTATAGGTTGCGCCTCAATCGATAAGCGTAACCTCGGATATGTTATTTCCGCATTCACACGTCAAATCTGTCTTTTGCTAGATTGTATTTCTGCACTTGTTATTATTGTGATTCTTATTCTTATGATATTATGAGCCTATGGAACAGCTTTTTGACCTGAATTATGATATGCGTGACTTTGGGTTGTGGCTGAGGAAAAATAATGAAGCCTAAATGGCTGGAAAATTAGGTAAACACAAAGGGCATGCTGCCCGAATTTACGCTCAAGGACTATAAAACTATACTTGTAACTTGTGTAAAGGTTAAGTGATTATCACTTAAACTAGCGAGCACCTTTACTACTTTGTTATCGAGGGTTATACGTTAAAAACCTAAACGAACTTGTACCCTTGAGGAAAAGATATAATGGCCAATGTAAACTTGTATTTCTTTGTACTTTCAACTCAAGTGTTGTTTTCCAAGTATATATACTACAAAAACCTTACGAGTTGAAAAGCGAGCAAGTGTTTCACGAATGTCTTTCAAATGAATTTCAATTGGTTGATTCTTAATGAACGGAACGTTTAAGTTTCGAATCTTACTCGTGTTTCAAAGTTCTCAAATTGGATTTCTATCGCAGATCTGGACTTCAAACCTGGAGTATAGTTGAACGTGAATACTTGAAGCACTATAATTGGAGTGAGTGGTCCCTCGACTGTTCCCAAAGTTACTTTTGAACTAATTCTTGCATTTATTACTCCATTGCATATCATTTGGGTTCGGGTGTGTGCCATGACATAATTTGGCTCCAATGAGTTCCTGGAAAGTCTTGTGCTTAGAACCAATGTCTCCACTATTGTTTACATATTCTTTGGAGCCCGATGGCTCCTTACTTCTGTTTCACGGTTACCTGATCTAAACGAGCATTGGATATTTAAGTACAAGAACTTCACTGGCTCACATGAGCAATAAATGAACATTTGATTACTGCATCATGACATCATATCAATGCTTTATTGTGAAATATACTTGGCTGTTGATTTTACTGATCACTCGCTGAGCTTCTAGCTCACCCCCTACTATCTTCTTCTCCCCACAGGGATCGAAGTAAATGAAGAACTTGTTTTTGGATCTTTGTGTGGCTGGATGGCGTACATCTTGTATAGTTTAGTTTTAGTTTTGGTTTATGTACTTTTGGGCTTGTATAAATATTTGGAATTGAATCGGATGTAAATCTACATTTTACACTTAGAACTAGTTTCCGCTTCGCTTATGATATGTAATTTTGGAGAATTGGATGTATTATTTGAGTTGTACCTTGTAATTTACTTGAGGAATGTAGTGAGCGACTGAGTCCCGGCGAGAGCTGGGCAGGTGGCTCGCCGAACCCTCTGGTTCGCCTTA